CATCGTATGGATGGACACAAACACCATCGTATGGATGGACACAAACACCATCGTATGGATGGACACAAACACCATCGTATGGATGGACACAAACAAGGGCTAGAAAGAGGAAGGCAAACCCAAACAAGGAAAAATAAAATGGAAACATAAGATTAATGCATGGGAGGGGAGGAGGTAATAGATAAAATTGGAAAGACGGGGAAAAAATGGTTTAGATGTTGGTGGAGGCAGAGGAGAAAGCAGGGAGGCAGGGAAATCTGGATGAGGCAGGCATGGAAAGCAGAGGAAAGGGCGGAAACCAGGGTAAGACAGGGAGAAAGCGGGCAGGGAAAGCAGTAAAACAGCAAAGTAGGAGAGGCAGAAAGGACTGGAGAAAGGGAAAGACAGGGAAGGGAAGGGAAGGGAAGAAAACACAGTGAGGCAAGCAGAAGCAAGGCAAGAAGTGACAAGATAAAGAGAAGACAGGGCGGGCAGAGAAAAGTATTGAAGGCAGGAGAGAATTTAACAGCCACTTAATATATGACAAACGTTGGTGAGGACAATTGTGATCTATACTGGTCAGGCGAGAGTCCGGATTAATAAAGTTCAAAAATTTTAATATACGTTTTAATCTATAGTTACATATCGTATGATGCGAAAAAACGCAATGGATCAAAAAAATAAAATCGAAAATATTGCTGACCGTGTTCAAGAACCCTAGGGTGAACTTTTTAAGTCAAGGCAATTATCTGAATAGTCGTTGAGGAGGTACAGTTCACGAGGTATTGAAGAGAAGCTTCCTTGCGGTCACTGAGAAGATACAGTTCACGAGGTACTGAAGAGAAGCTTCCTTGCGGTCGTTGAGGAGATACAGTTCACGAGGTACTGAAGAGAAGCTTCCTTGCGGTCGTTGAGGAGGTACAGTTCACGAGGTATTGAAGAGAAGCTTCCTTGCGGCCACTGAGAAGACACAGTTCACGAGGTATTGAAGAGAAGCTTCCTTGCGGTCACTGAGGAGACACAGTTCACGAGGTACTGAAGAGAAGCTTCCTTGCGGTCGTTGAGGAGATACAGTTCACGAGGTACTGAAGAGAAGCTTCCTTGCGGTCGTTGAGGAGATACAGTTCACGAGGTACTGAAGAGAAGCTTCCTTGCGGTCGTTGAGGAGATACAGTTCACGAGGTACTGAAGAGAAGCTTCCTTGCGGTCGTTGAGGAGATACAGTTCACGAGGTACTGAAGAGAAGCTTCCTTGCGGTCGTTGAGGAGATACAGTTCACGAGGTACTGAAGAGAAGCTTCCTTGCGGTCGTTGAGGAGATACAGTTCACGAGGTACTGAAGAGAAGCTTCCTTGCGGCCACTGAGAAGACACAGTTCACGAGGTACTGAAGAGAAGCTTCCTTGCGGTCACTGAGAAGACACAGTTCACGAGGTACTGAAGAGAAGCTTCCTTGCGGTCACTGAGGAGATACAGCTCACGAGGTACTGAAGAGAAGCTTCCTTGCGGTTGTTCAGGAGGTACAGTTCACGAGGCCATTTATAACAACCTCTTGTGTTAGAAGGAAAATGAAATATCTGTGAATAGAGTATTTGTTCTGCTCGCAGAAGCTCTTGTGGTCGATAACAGTAACCATTACAAGGTCTCTGAAGTAGATTTGTTGAAGAACTGGTGAAAAACATCAGTTCATAAGATTTCTGAAGATCTCTCTCTCGCTGAACTGTCGAATTGTTCATAAACAAATCCTGAGGTTCTGGAAGTGGTTAGTGGTAGTGGTGGTGGAGAAGAGGAGGGAGTGATGGTGATGCAGGTGTTGTGGTGATGATGGTGGCGTTAGTGACGGTAGTGATGGTGCAACTGGCGGTGCACAGAGCTGAGTGACGGTGTATTCAACGCTGAGGATTGAAGGTTACAGGCACTACGGGACCAGTGGCCCGGAAGAGGAAAATTTAGTTAGCAGCAGCGAGGCCTGGAAACGAATCCCGGGGTTTCACCCCAGATTAAAGCCCCGGGACTTCACTACATACCGGAACGAAAGCTTGACTTCAACATCAAAAGACAGTGGGACAAACTACCATGAGGCTTCACCACGTGCTGGAACGAAAAGACATCAGAACATAAGATATTCCGACAAACCCTTGGCTTAAGTATTACTGGATAATAGCGTGAGAGTTTTTGACTTCAGAATCACTGGACGCTAGAATGATTCCCCCTGGCTTTGGACTAACCAGACAGACACAACACAGTATATATATATATATATATACATATATATATATTTATATATATATATATACATATATATATATATATATATATATATATATATATATATATATATATATTTATATATATATATATATATATATATATATATATATACATATATATTTTATATATATATATATATATATATATATATATATATATATATATATATATATATCAGGGAAGGATAGAGCCCGCCTACTGGCAGTGAGAGCCCCTCATGCTGGGGACTTTCTGCTGGCTGTTCCCAACTCCAGCCTTGGCACACGCCTCGAACCACAGACCATCCGCATCGGTGTTGCCCTTCGACTTGCCGCCCCTATTCTCGCCGAACACAGGTGTATTTGTGGCAGTGAAGCAGCAGACCGATTCGGGTACCATGGTCTTGTGTGCCGTAAATCCGAGGGAAAGATCGCAAGACATGAGGAGGTTAATAACATTATCAAGAGGAGCCTCACAACAGCTGGTTGCCCAGCAGTAAGGGAGCCACCCCAACTATGCAGATCTGATGGCAGCCAGAAGCGTCCAGATGGTATCACCCTTCAAGCCTGGACAGATGGGAAGCAGGTGGTGTAGGACTATACATGTGCATCTACCTTGGCTGGTACCTATCTCCAATACACCAGGGAGGAAGGAGGGGCAGCTGCCAGCTTCAGGGAGTCCCAAAAGTCTAGAAAATATGGAGAACTTGCCCATCATTATATGTTTGTTCCCATAGGCTCAGAGACCCTTGGCTCATGGGGAAAGAGTGCATCTAAATTCCTTAAGGAGCTGGGAAAAAGACTCATCAGGGTAAAATAGGGATCCCAGGGCAGCTAGTTTTCTGTTCCAGCGGCTCAGTGCGGCTGTTCAAAGGGGTAATGCCTGCTGTATTCTGGGCACACGCCCCAGCTCTGAGGAACTGGATGAGATTTTCGCCTTATAATCTGTGATACACACGTAACAACATGTACCTTATATGCCACCTTTATATCAACAATGTATCTCTTAAATCTTCTATACCATATTATGTAATATATATATATATATATATATATATATATATATATATAATATATATATATATATATATATATATATTCTTTCTTTCTTTCAACACACCGGCCGTAACCCACCGAGGCAGGGTGGCCCAAAAGAAAAAAACAAAGTTTCTCCTTTCAAATTTAGTAATATATACAGGAGAAGGGGTTACTAGCCCCTTGCTCCCGGCATTTTAGTCGCCTCTTACAACACGCATGGCCTACGGAGGAAGAATTCTGTTCCACTTCCCCATGGAGATAAGAGGAAATAAACAAGAACAAGAACTAGAAAGAAAATAGAAGAAAACCCAGAGGGGTGTGTATATATACGCTTGTACATGTATGTGTAGTGTGACCTGAGTGTTAGTAGAAGTAGCAAGACATACCTGAAATTTTGCATGTTCATGAGACAGAAAAAAGGACACCAGCAATCCTACCATCATGTAAAACAATTACAGGCTTTCGTTTTACACTCACTTGGCAGGACGGAAGTACCTCCCTGGGCGGTTGCTGTCTACCAACCTACTACCTAGGATATATATATATATATATATATATATATATATATATATATATATATATATATATATATATATATATACATATATATATATATATACATATATATATATATATATATATATATATATATATATATATATATATATATATATATATATATATATATATATATATTATATATATATATATGCAGGCTGTAAGGTGTATGTTTCTCAGTGTGTATAAGCTGGGTATTGGGTGATTAAAGTAATCATGACTGGTGGTGAACAAGCTTCACGGAGCCTTAATGAGACTTTGGGTACTCGATGGGCTTTAAGCAACATTAACCAATCTTCTGGCTTGATATCCTCGGCTGATTTCTGAAATGCTCAAATCTGCATTAAGCTAAAAGAAATTTATTCAGTAATCCAGACATTTTTTAATTAAATAAAACTAGTTAGAAGAACAGGTCATAGAATAACTTTTCTTGAAGCTGTGTATGGTGCTTTCCTTTACTATCTGCACTGTACATTCTGACAACACTGTAGATAGTGTGTGTGTGTGTGTGTGTGTGTGTGTGTGTGTGTGTGTGTGTGTGTGTGTGTGTGTGTGTGTGGGGCCACAATAACACCGGTGGTGTTCGTCTCGAAGCTTTGCGGTCGTTAACTTTATGAATGGCGTTATAAAGGAAGAAGTTTATAGTGGTGGTAGTGGCGTTAGTGGTACTGGTGGTGGTGGCTGGTGGTTGGTAGTAGTGGTAGTGACAGTGGTGGTGGTTGGTAGTCGTGGTAGTGACAGTGGTGGTGCTGGTGGTTGGTAGTAGTGGTAGTGACAGTGGTGGCTGGTGGTTGGTAGTAGTGGTAGTGACAGTGGTGGTGGTTGGTAGTCGTGGTAGTGACAGTGGTGGTGCTGGTGGTTGGTAGTAGTGGTAGTGACAGTGGTGGTGCTGGTGGTTGGTAGTAGTGGTAGCGACAGTGGTGGTGCTGGTGGTTGGTAGTAGTGGTAGTGACAGTGGTGGTGCTGGTGGTTGGTAGTAGTGGTAGTGACAGTGGTGGTGGTTGGTAGTAGTGGTAGTGACAGTGGTGGTGCTGGTGGTTGGTAGTAGTGGTAGTGACAGTGGTGGCTGGTGGTTGGTAGTAGTGGTAGCGACAGTGGTGGTGCTGGTGGTTGGTAGTAGTGGTAGTGACAGTGGTGGTGGCTGGTGGTTGGTAGTAGTGGTAGTGACAGTGGTGGTGCTGGTGGTAGGTAGTAGTGGTAGCGACAGTGGTGGTGCTGGTGGTTGGTAGTAGTGGTAGTGACAGTGGTGGTGCTGGTGGTTGGTAGTAGTGGTAGTGACAGTGGTGGTGCTGGTGGTAGGTAGTATGTGGTAGTTGACAGTGGTGGTGCTGGTGGTTGGTAGTAGTGGTAGTGACAGTGGTGGTGCTGGTGGTTGGTAGTAGTGGTAGTGACAGTGGTGGTGCTGGTGGTAGGTAGTAGTGGTAGTGACAGTGGTGGTGCTGGTGGTTGGTAGTAGTGGTAGTGACAGTGGTGGTGCTGGTGTTGGTAGTAGTGGTAGTGACAGTGGTGGTGCTGGTGGTTGGTAGTAGTGGTAGTGACAGTGGTGGTGCTGGTGGTAGGTAGTAGTGGTAGTGACAGTGGTGGTGCTGGTGGTTGGTAGTAGTGGTAGTGACAGTGGTGGTGCTGGTGGTTGGTAGTAGTGGTAGTGACAGTGGTGGTGCTGGTGGTTGGTAGTAGTGGTAGTGACAGTGGTGGTCCTGGTGGTAGGTAGTAGTGGTAGTGACAGTGGTGGTGCTGGTGGTTGGTAGTAGTGGTAGTGACAGTGGTGGTGCTGGTGGTTGGTAGTAGTGGTAGTGACAGTGGTGGTGCTGGTGGTTGGTAGTAGTGGTAGTGACAGTGGTGGTGCTGGTGGTTGGTAGTAGTGGTAGTGACAGTGGTGGTGCTGGTGGTTGGTAGTAGTGGTTTAGTGACAGTGGTGGTGCTGGTGGTTGGTAGTAGTGGTAGTGACAGTGGTGGTGCTGGTGGTAGGTAGTAGTGGTAGTGACAGTGGTGGTGCTGGTGGTAGGTAGTAGTGGTAGTGACAGTGGTGGTGCTGGTGGTAGGTAGTAGTGGTAGTGACAGTGGTGGTGCTGGTGGTTGGTAGTAGTGGTAGTGACAGTGGTGGTGCTGGTGTGTAGGTAGTAGTGGTAGTGAAAGTGGTGGTGCTGGTGGTAGGTAGTAGTGGTAGTGACAGTGGTGGTGCTGGTGGTAGGTAGTAGTTGTAGTGACAGTGGTGGTGCTGGTGGTAGGTAGTAGTGGTAGTGACAGTGGTGGTGCTGGTGGTTGGTAGTAGTGGTAGTGACAGTGGTGGTGCTGGTGGTTGGTAGTAGTGGTAGTGACAGGGGTTGTGCTGGTGGTTGGTAGTAGTGGTAGTGACAGTGGTTGTGCTGGTGGTTGGTTAGTAGTGGTAGTGACAGTGGTGGTGCTGGTGGTTGGTAGTAGTGGTAGTGACAGTGGTGGTGCTGGTGGTAGGTACTAGTTGTAGTGACAGTGGTTGTGCTGGTGGTTGGTAGTAGTGGTAGTGACAGTGGTGGTGCTGGTGGTTGGTAGTAGTGGTAGTGACAGTGGTGGTGCTGGTGGTTGGTAGTAGTGGTAGTGACAGTGGTGGTGCTGGGGGTTGGTAGTAGTGGTAGTGACAGTGGTGGTGGCTAGTGTTGGTAGTAGTGGTAGTGACAGTGGTGGTGCTGGTGGTTGGTAGTAGTGATAGTGACAGTGGTGGTGGCTAGTGGTTGGTAGTAGTGGTAGTGACAGTGGTGGTGCTGGTGGTAGGTACTAGTGATAGTGACAGTGGTGGTGGCTAGTGGTTGGTAGTAGTGGTAATGACAGTGGTGGTGCTGGTGGTAGGTACTAGTGATAGTGACAGTGGTGGTGGCTAGTGGTTGGTAGTAGTGGTAGTGACAGTGGTGGTGCTGGTGGTAGGTACTAGTGATAGTGACAGTGGTGGTGGCTAGTGGTTGGTAGTAGTGGTAATGACAGTGGTGGTGCTGGTGGTAGGTACTAGTGATAGTGACAGTGGTGGTGGCTAGTGGTTGGTAGTAGTGGTAGTGACAGTGGTGGTGCTGGTGGTAGGTACTAGTGATAGTGACAGTGGTGGTGGCTAGTGGTTGGTAGTAGTGGTAATGACAGTGGTGGTGCTGGTGGTAGGTACTAGTGATAGTGACAGTGGTGGTGGCTAGTGGTTGGTAGTAGTGGTAGTGACAGTGGTGGTGCTGGTGGTTGTACCAGAGCTGATCTAATTTCCTGATAAGATAGCCATTATAAACCCCGTCATCGTGAGGGATAACATGCAGTTCTCAAGGCAGATATCTTTAAGATAGCTTTGAATTAAGTTACTTAAAAAAATATATATATATTACCTTTATTTATGCTTCGTAACTTTTCCTTGACTCTTAATAAAGGCTAAACATCTTTCCAATATATTTATAAAATTCTCAGAATTAGGAGTCAAGAATTATTATAGTTTTTCTGGTAAGGTTTAGTTTCCACTTGTCTCTGTGTTCTGATGTCTTCTGTGTCCACTAGTACTTCTGTGTTTACTCTGTAATTATGTCCTTTCCTGCCTTATTCATTGTTATCAACGGTAGAGTTATCGTAGTCAACTCACATGAGAAAGATCTTGGTTGTATTTACTAGTCCTGAGATGGTGAGATGTATGGGCACGCGTTCATCAGGGCAAGACGTACGGGCAAGCCTCCTCAG